TTTTTTTGGTGGTACCAGGGATCGAACTCAGGACCGTGTGCTTGCTGGGCAAGCATTTATTCCACTGAGCTATCTCTCCAACCCTCTACAGATCTTTTCTATATGAGTAATTTTGTAATTATTTTCAAAATAGTCTTATTTTATAGGATTTTGCTTCATTTGGAGTTCTTCCACGTATTTGTCAATACTCATCTATACTGAATGCTTTCCCATATTGTATACATACGCTTAGGCCACATTTAAACTTCATTTTAAAGGTTAGCATCTCTGACATCTGATTTCCCCCACCACATTTCTTAGCTGCTCAGTTACTCCCTAATGTGATGGGAATTACATATATATATGAAATGAAAATCCTGCAGCAATCTTATTAGTTGATTATAGTTTTGTCCCACCTTAGACTCACCTCGCCTCATGGTTTTGCTCTGTAAAACTCCCACGAGAAGCAGGATCCCACTTGGGACCTTTAAGTCTCTCTTAAATAGAAGTTTTCTTTTCCCTAATAAATGTTTTCTGCTCTTAACCTCTGCTGTTCCTTAGAATTCATTCTTCAATTTTGGGGAACACAAATGCAGCATATAGAACATCTAGCAGGTTGGGAGTTATAACATTTTCCTAAATTATTTTGATTATTTGGAGGTTCTATATCATTCATATATCAATATTAAATTGTCAGATTTTTTTTCTCAGGAAAGTTAACAAGTGTAGTATTCTCTCTCTCTCTCTCTCTCTCTCTCTCTCTCTCTCTCTCTCTTTCTGAGACGGAGTCTTACTGTGTAGTTCAAGTGGGTCTTGAGTTCGCTATGTAGGCCTCGAATTTGAGGTGAGCCTTCTGCCCGGTCTCTAGAGTGCTGGGATCACAGGCGCGCACCACTATGCCTGGCTATTTTAAAATTTTGATTAAAAAAATCTTCAGAATCATCTTTAGTTTAAATTTCAAATATATTTAATTTGATAAGGTAATTTTTATTTTAATTTTTTTATGAATTTAGGTCAGGGTCTACAGGGTGTACAGGGTCTCATTACATAGATAGGACTTGCAGTGATCCTCCTGTATTTAGCCTCCCAAGAACTGGGATTACAGGCGCGCACCACCATGCCCAGTCTCAGCTGCCACTTCAGGGTACTCTGGGGGTGGGGTCAGCACAGCACCGGGGATCAAACCCTGGCCAGTGTGCTCTGCAGAAGCAGGCATTTTAGTCTGCTGAGCTACCTGGCTGGCCCGATTAGGTAATTTTTTGAGCTTATCTTGAATATATGTTTATATTTTCTGGCTTAGGAAGTAGATTGAGCCAGAACTGGATACACAGGGAAAAGTAGTGTACAAGGAAAAGAGAAATACTTGGATAGTTATGAATTTGGATGGTTTATTTTTGGAAATATGGTGGTGATGGTATTTCCCCCCCAACATATACTTTAGAGAAGTAACTATAGTACATAAAGAGGGAGATAAAATCTTGAAAACTCTAGATTGTTGTGTGAGCAGTGATATTCTAATACCAACCAGTCAAATGTCTGTACTTCTATTCATAAGCATGTGTTGCTAATGACACCTGAGAAAAATGTCTATTTTCACTGGGTAGTATCCGGGTAGGTCTGTAAATGTATGTAAGGTATTTGTTATGTGCTGAATTGTGTCTTATAAAAGTTCTTATGCGGCATCCCTAATAGAGGACTTCAAAATGTGACTGTATTGGATATTGTAACACATGGTGTGTGTGCACGGGGCTAAGGGGCAGCAGACACCACCAAGCTCGTGTAACGGCAACGTGGTATAGAATTTATTGTGCTTGGGTGCAGGTAGACAGAAAGCAAAAAGACCTGTGTAGAAAAAAGAGAAGTGTGCCCATTTTATAGGGATGGAAAGAAGGCAAGGGACAGTAGGCAGGAAGATTTTAATAAACATCTGTGGTCAAAATTCACTGGCAGTCTTGTGTCTCAGTGGGCAAAGTCCTTGAAGGTCCAGTGTAAATTTTTGAGTGTCTCCAGATGTCCCAGGACCTGAAAAATTCCTGTCTTATTTTATAGCTCCTTTCCCACATCTTGTGCTTGCCCATGACAGCTGCAGTGCTGAGCTGAGTTTCCTTCTGAGAGTAGTGCCCCTGCTGGCAAGTGGGTTAGGGGCTGGGAGATTGTTGCAACTGGAGCCAGATATAAGGTCTTCAAATTGCTAATTAAGTTAAAATGATATAAATCGTCTGAGCCCTAATCTAATATAGCTGGTATCTTAGAAGAAGAAATTAGTATGTAAAACATTTACATGTATGTATGATATTGAATAAGTGAATAGGTCCCTTTTTGCTAATAGTGCAATTGTGAAATACTGAACGTGGAACTGAAGAACTTAATGTTTGCCCTGTTGGATTTTGAGGTTTCAGAAGTGGCTGAATCTAGAGTTTGTGGTTGATTCATGGCCCAATGATGAGATTAAGCGTGTGACTATTACACCCTCTCTAGGGCTGGTAGCCTCCATACATTAGAAGGTACAGAAGGATGCTTGTCCTCTCTCTCCCTGATTGCTTTTGCTGTCTTCCACCATCATGAATGCTTGTTCCTCTGCCACCCTACCTTAGAGCTAGCGGATTATGGACTGAAACCTCTATAGACTGTAAGCTGAATAAACCTTTCTTCCATTAACTTTGCCTGTCAAGTCTTTTGTCTTGAGAGCAAAATAACTAAGATACCCTCCCTCCAAAGCCTTCTTTATCTTTCTAGATTCAGCCCAAATTCAAGCATATGCCCCACTATTTGAGATCAAATGAATTCTTCTAACTGAAACTTCTTTGAAGTTCTTGTATGGTTAGTGACTATTCCATCAGCGTACATATTTCTTTTTTCTTTTTCTTTTGGTATTGAGAATCAAACTCTGAGCCTCACACTTGCCAGGCAGATGCTCTGCTGCTGAGCTATATCCCTGGCCTTGTAATGCTTTCTTAATTGGATCATAAGCATATATGTACATACTCATTTTGTGGAGGTGGATGCATTCCTAGCCAAACTCTGGCCTACTCGAAGGTGTTAAAAGTGAACAACACAGGTTATTTGGACCTAATTTACATGATCAAAATAGAGAATGTACTGGAGCCCCTAAAATGAATCTGGTATTGACTGTTCTCTATATAAATCTTTAATAACACTTATTTTTTATCTTTTCCAAGTTGATTAAAAGGACATTGGGAAAATAATTTTTTATTTACCTATGAAATAATGTATTGCTTCTCAGAAGGAAAACATGCATACATCATTTTTTTGTTAGGAATAATTTAGAGTATTTGGTAATATTCTATTTCTGCATAAAATTATTCTGAAGAGGATTTTAGCAATGTGATACATGTTTAAAAATTAAATATTATCTTGAATTCAGTCATTCGAATTGTTTTCTTTCCAGACCCAAAAATGCCAGAGCATTTCCAGCTTTGAGTTTATCCTAAAAAAAAAAGAAAAGAAAAAAATTTTATTTTAAAGTCTTATTGGTCATTTTAAATATTTTATTGTCTTCCTCAGGTTTTTAAAAAGTCAGCTCCATCCACAGTATGGGAGAAAAGTATTTGCATGTTATTATGGTGACTCTCTTATCGAAACCTTAATCCGTGTTTTTGTCCCACTATTAGAGTTCTAAATCTGAAAGTAGATTATAAGAGGAGAACTAGATTGTAAAAATTATAAATAGGAGAGCCTTCCTAAGAAAGTGACCTTCTTTGGAAACTTTTAGTGGGCTTTTCTATATAATTTGGAGGCAAGTACAGAGAAAAGTTGCAGTTTAGGTGTATGGAACAAGAGGGCTAGAAGCAGTGCCTAGAAGAAATCTATCTATCTCCTAGGTTCTAGGCATATCCTTTACTTTTTCATATATCTCTGAATAAATGGCGAGGTCTTCCATCATAAGAGACATTATACAAATGGAAGTTCTCAGAAGAGGGAACAAATTTGTGCATCTCATGAATTTCACATAAGAAAGTTTTCCCTCATTTTTATCCACCTACCTCCAATTATAGACTATATCTCTTCAAAAAAAAAAGGGGGGGGGTCAGGGAGATGGCTCAGTAGAATAAACAGTTGCCTGGCAAGTGCAAGGGCCTGAGTTCAATCCCCAGTTCTGCCAAAAAAAAAAAAAA